AGTTGCTTCAAGAAGCACAAACAAAGTTACAAACATACAAAATGAACAAAAAAAAAATATAATGGATGGCATGACTTCACTTCATATTTATCAGCAAAAATAAGTATTAGGCCCATAGAATTCAATTTGGATAAATATTTGGAAGATATCTTAGAAATTAACAATGAAGGTTAGATGTGGCTTAAAAATTATAATGTCAGATGTGGCTTAAAAATTATAATGAAGGTAAGAAGTTTGATGTTATAGCATGGTAGAAAGCAATCAAACCAAATTTCACGTGCTTTCAAGAATGGTTGTTGATATTTTATCAATACCAATTAGTATTGTATCTTTAGAGTCTATATTCATTATAGGTGAAAGGGTAGTTAATACATATCACTCCAAATTAGGGGTTGGCACTGTACAAGCTCTTTAAGTGACTCTAACTGGGTTCTCTGTCACTATGGGTTAAAAAGAAGGGTCAAGGTAATTATATTAATTACATTTTGTTTTCACTCATGGCACATCTTTGTTTTAATACCAAACACTAATATATCACCATGCGATCCTCTTTTCTTTTGTGGAAAGAAGAGGATGATGAAGAGATGTAAATTCCATTACCAATTATATGAGAAGTTACAATGTTGGAAATATAATTTAAGTTTTTTTTTTTAATTTACAATTTATTATTCTAATTTTTTGCTTAAGTTTGTTCTAATATATTTCTTTGATCTTAATTTTCACATTTGCTTCAATGTTCATTGGTGCTATGAAAAAGAGTTATGAAGATTGCAAAATATGGAATATTACATAGATGGGCATATGAGGAGTCTTATCATTTGTTGATATTTTGTTATGTCTTTAATATAAAGCTTTGCTAAAGTTTGTACAATGACAGATAAACAAGAGTAGACTTCCAAGGATAATAAATCAAATAAGTTTGAAGTCTTATACCTATGCTAATGTTTCCTTTAAACTATATGAATTGATAATTTTTTAGTAGTAGAATTGTTTGTTTTCTTTAGGATCAATACTATGATAGACTTCCCCATTGATTCTGTTAAATCTCCCTGTGGATGTCCATAGTTTGAATCATAGAATTAGCTTTGGTTATTTTATCCCGAAATATTTGCAGATTAGATTTAAACTTTATGATTTTTGTTGGGGAAAAACTATATATGTTACTATGTTATAAAAGATATTTATACCACATTGTTTTGATTTAATTTTAGATTCAGTTAGCATGCTCTTGAGTTATAGTTTATACATTCTTATGTTTGTTCCAATCATCCACTTTAATCTTATGTTTGTTCTAGAGCATCCACAGTCATCACTAAGTCTATATCTCTAACCTTAAACTTTTAATATATATTTTTAAAGGAATTATGCTGCTTTATAGTCCTTAGAATTCTAACTTTGTTGAAGTATTAATGGTAACATGTATATTTTAAGTTGCTAGTACAAAGAGTATTATACATCAGTGGAAAATTTATTTTTAATGTGTTTTATTTAAAAATTATAAGTAAAATTCTAAAAATTGAGCTGAACAAATTAGCCAAGTTAGAGCTTTTTAAACAAGCTCAAGCAAATGAGCCGAGCTCGAGCCTGAATATTTTTCAACGAGTCGAGTTCGAGCTAATTAAATGAGCTTCAGTTATAGCCCAGTGAGGATTAAACAAGCTCAGGTCGATAAGACAACCACTCGACTCAGCTCTACTTGTTTACACTCCAAATATTTGCCACATATCTAAAGTTACACGGTAAAAAATCACTAAAATAAGAGATTTTGTATTTTGTTCAAGTTTAAGAGAGATAAATCTTGTAAGTCAAAAATCATCGAGTATTTGTTTTCCTTTTTTTATGTGATCTTTTAGAGGCTTCTTTTGTTCTTTTTCCTCATGTTTCTTTGTGCTGATGAAAGTTCATTCCATGATGACCGTTTGGATCTTGGATCAAGAAGTCTTATTTAAGAATGATTTTCCAGTCTTCTGTTCATTTATATTTGTTCTCTTTAGGTGGAAGTTTTGTTTTTCTTATTGCTTAGTCTATTTCTAAGCATGTTGTATTTTCATTTTAAGCTTGATAGTTTAGGCTTTTAATGTAGTATTTGTAAATTTTTTTCTTGCTTTTCTTATATTTGTTGTAGTATTTTATTTGTAATTTTTTATTCTATTAATGGAAATTTGGCATGATTGCCACTAATTTTTCAAAAAAATAAAAAATAAAAAAAGAGGAGGCTGATTTGCTGAATCAGAAATAAACCTAAACCATTTGATTGTGCCTCTTCATTTCTTCACTGTTAAATCTCCCCGACACCATCATTTCTCCTACGGCTTTGCCTGCCTCACGTAAAGAATAGTTTTGCTGTCGGATCGGAAGTTACAGTGGGGAGAAATTATCACATGCAGAGTCTGGACGCAGCTTTGTGTCCGGATTCCAATTAAGTTATAACACATAGATATTCAATATGGATTTTATATTTTATTTTTCTCTTGCCAGCTCAATCGAGCCGGCCCAGAGGTTTCCCATTCAAATTTAGGTTTTAAGGTTGTTGCTCCTTTTTTAAATGAAAATACCCACGAAAGCTTCCTAATATTTAGGATTTTTGCTCAATAAACTTTTGATACCCGTTGAGAGAGAAAAAAATTGGGAATACCAATGAAGATGAAGACTGGTTTGGAGAAGGACATTGTATTCTTTAATCATATGATATGCCCACAGGACTTAGAGTCCGAAAGATAGTATGCAAATGTCTAAGAAGAGGAAGACTTGAAGTTGAAAATAAACTACAGCCTGAAGGAATGATATCTTTTTCTATACACTTCACACATATGTCAGGGGTCCAAGGGGTAGTGCGCGGTTGCGGGGTTTGACTAGTAAATACACCATTAATATGTTGTAAATTTACAGTAGATGCATAGGAAATACACAATAAATACGTAGCAAATACAAAGTTGATACGTAGAGGGATTTGATTAGTTTCAAAGAGAGGACACATGATCAACTAGAGAGATTTGATTGTTTTTTCTTCATATTTTTTATTAAAAGATTATCATTAAGAAATATAGATTTGTAACATTTTTGTATGAAAATTTAATTAAAACGCACTCAAATTATCTCCTGTTTATTGAAATCAAACACTTCAAAGTATTTTACTTCAAAATTTCATGTTTATATTTAGTTTCAATACAATTACTCTTTTTCGACCTATAATCACATCCCAATCCTTAGAAAACTTTATATGAATCACATAACTTCTTCTCACAAAAATAAAAATTCAAAATTTCTTAAAAAAAAAAAAAAATCGCCCATTTTGAATAAGAGAGGGCTGCTCAAAATTTCTAGAATCTTCAGTCTCATTGATGAACAGGGCGAGAAGCATAAATGAAAAAGAGTATTTAATGTGTCTCAAATGTGCAACTTTAATTTAACTTGTTAGGAATAATTGTAAGCATATACATTTTGTTACTTAAATGGAGAATGCAGTAAGAATAAAATATCAATACAAAAATTACCTATAAAAACTAATGCTATTTTACAGAAAAAATTAATCAAATAGTACAATATAAGCTCTTTGTTATGAATTAATGTTAGTATAAAATGTATAGAAAAAAGTTATCATTTCTTTTGGCTGTAGTTTTTTCAACTTCAAGTGTTCCTCTTCTTGAATCTTTGTATACCACTTTTTGGACTTTGCGTCTTGTGGATATATCATATGCTCGAATGATACAACGCCATCCTCCAAACCAATTTTTTACTTAATTGACTTTTTTTAGTTTTTTTCTTTCTCAGCAGTATCAAAAGTTTATTGAACTAAAATTCTAAATATTGGAGAGCTTTCACTTGTATTTTCATTTAAAAAAAATAACACTAATCCCAAACCTTGAATTTGAACGAAAAAACTCTGAACCGAATCAATTGAATTGATAAAAAAAAAAAAAATACAAAATTCATATTAAATATCAACTTGTTCGATCCACTTGTCATGATTTAACTGGAGTTAGGAGTTCGACTTATGTTTGGATTCCGCACGTAATAATTTCTCCATTGTGATAGCCGCTTCACTTGAAGAAAAGAGTTTTGGAGAGATTATTCTGTGCGGTGTCTGGATGCGTTCAAAGGCCAATCCGAATGTGTCAAATCATCTGATGCACTACCTACGTACTGTGCGCTCGGAGGGGACGTAATAATTTTTCGAAGTTTTGAGAGAGTCACTAGGGATGTCAATTCGAGTCAACGGGTCGGGTTTGGATCCAACTCGGGTTGACCCGGATGTAAACGGGTTGACCTGAACCCTACCCGTTTAGCTAAACGGGTCAGGATTTTCAACCAGGATCCGACCCTCGCCGGTTATTGGGTTGACCCGACCCCACCCACGAGCGCAGTTGCTGAGTCGCAACTCACGCAAGCCTAGCAGCGTAGGGCCTGGCCACTGGGCGAGGTTGACTGGCCGAGTCATCATGCATGATGGTCGAGGCGGAGCGGCCTGCCACAGAGCGGCTTGCATCGGGTCAAGGCTGCGGCATGGCGAGGAGGAGCGGCCTGCTCGGCGGCCTGATGTGACGGCAGCTGGGCAACGTGACGACAACTTCGTGACGTCTTGACGGACCCGACAACGCTGGCATGATGCGACAGGCCACTTTTCTGGGTAAAAAAGGGTCAACTCTGGGGCAAATTATTGGGTCAGGTGACCGGAGGCGAAAAATAAGTTCGGACATCCAATAAAAATTTGCCGCGTCACCTGCGCTTTTGACTTGCGCTTTACTTGCGCTTTACCTGCACTTTACCTGCGCTTTACTTGCGCTTTTTGACTTGCACTTTAGTTGCGCTTTACTTGTCCTTTAGTTGCGCTTTACCTGCGCTTTACTTGCGCTTTACCTGCGCTTAATTTAAAATAATATTTTATTAGTATTCGGACCTATCTCCGCCTCCGATCACCTGACCCAATTATTTGCCCAACTCTGGGTTGTCGGTTAAACCTGAATCCGGTCTTGACCTCATTAAGAAACTAGTCCTCGCAAGAGTATTTGTGCCTCCCTTATACTGGGCTTTCCAGGTTTCTTATTCGACGGCGCTTCATCTTATTCTTGTGCGGTTAGACTGCCTTCCAAATATTTGAATAAATCTTTCTGAACTTTCCATTTTTCGTTTTGTTTGTTATTTTTTCCACATTCGGTCATGGTGATGAATATAAAAAGTGATCTGGATGATTTTCTTGCTTTATTGGCATTGTTTTGAGCATTCTAGCCATCTAAGGAGCTAGAGAATCATGGATAGGGTTAATGAAATAGCATCAGTTGACGATGATGATTAATTGAGCATGTTCGAATTTTGAATTCCATGCTATATTATCTATTGCTTTTTTACTTTGGCTTCCTGAAGTTGACTTTTAAAACTGGAGAAACCATTTTCGGGACATAGAATATTATAGGCAATGTTTGGTTTGAAGATATTATTAAAATCGGAATTAAAGGGAAACAGTAATGGAATTAGTAAAAGAATAGAATTGATAGTTGTTTAGCCTCACTTGTTTGATTTATTGGAAATTTAGTCACTTGTTTTTTGCATTTTTATTTGGCCAGTGACAGAGAAATAATTGGGTTAGGATATCGTAACCAAGTTTTTTATTTGGGATGATGTTAGTTTAAGATTAGTTCAATAATTTTTTTTTTAATTTCTCACTCATCACTAAACAAATCTAATAGCTTTAAGATCCATATTGACCCAAAATTTTTCCAAAGAGAAATTAAGTTTTTTTCTCTTGTATGGAGGTGTGCGAGTCATACTGATGAAAATAAAAATTTCTTAAAATTTTTCACTAAAGCTTGATAAGGAATTGCCAATAAAAAATGCCACGATTCTATTTTTTTTTTAGCTACATTCAATTTACTAATTTAATTACAACCAGACTTCCAATATGAAATTTTGAAGTAAAATACATTTGAATTCTCCCTAATTCCTTCAAACCAATTAGACCCACAAAGAGTTCCTTATAGAAGTTCTTGTACTGAGTTCATGTCATTACTTTAATTTTACAATGAAATTTTTTGCTTATAACTCCATGTTATTGATAGAATCTTATATCTAGAAGAACATAGATCTCTATAGATAAGAATGTTAATAGAAGAAATCTGTTTATAGGGTTTCCGTCACCAATCCTTGAGAGGCTGTGGCTGTCTGTTTGTGGAGGATATAGTGATTTTTTATTTGTATTTGGTCATAAAAAAAAAGTCTTTTGCATGCAGTGAAGTTTTTAAATGCAATCAAAGTTTTACAATGTAAATGTAAATGTAAATTGTGGGTAACATTTTTTTCTTTTAATTTTTGAAGATGATGGCCTAAAAAGCTGTTGCGTTTAAAGTGATTGCAAAGATTTTAGCAATATATTAGCACTTATAAAGTTCATTTTGTACACTATGTACTTCTGCTTTAGGTTGATCAAATCATTTCATGAACTTGAATCTGGTTTATTAGTCACTAGCTATTGCTTAGTGCACTTGTCAATCTAATTAAGAGTTATTGTTCAGTGAAATTGCCAAAAAAACTCATCAAGGAAATGCATCCCCTATAACTCATCAAAGGAATTCTTTTGTTGGAACTTGACAAAGGAGCTTTCCCCCAAGAACTCATCCCCTAGAGTTTATCAAGAGAACTCTTCCTCACATGGAACTTGTCCTCACTAGGAATTTATTTTTATTGGTAACCCATCCTAACTACAAATTCATCCTTACTAGGAACTAATCCTTGTTAGGAACTTACCTGCACATAGAACTTATCTTTACTAGTAATTTGACCTTATCCTCATTAGGAACTCATCCTCACAAGAAGTCATCTTCACCTGGAACATGCTTCTCAGATAACTCATCCTCATACATAGCTTATGCTCACATAATAATCATTCTCATCAATAATTCATCCTCGCTTAGGCATCTGTTAGCCAACCAAACTTCTCCACTTCACATCAAGTTCTATTAACATATTTTAGGGTAGCATTTTCTTGTGGGCAGCGAACATGGATGATGCCTTCAATAAGAAGTATTCTGATCAAAAGGACCTTTACGAGAGTGTTATCTCAAGCAAGAGAAAGCGCAGCATGATCTCCTCATCTCTACCAAGAAAATTCTTACTTGCCCAACAAATGCCTTTTGAATTCAAAACGGGGAAGCTCAACCTTCACCAAAATATCAAAATTCTGAATTTGCAAGATCAAAATTTGCTGAATTTATGAAATATGATTTCAGAAATGAATTTTAGAAATTTTTATTTTGGAAACTGTAAAATTTTCAGAATTCTGAATTTAGAAGATCAAGAATTTTGCAGAATTTCTGGATCTAATTTTGTGGAATTACTGATTTTTGGAAATGTTAACTTTTCAGAAATATGGATTTGGAAGATCAAGAAATTACAAGATTTTTTAAATCTGGTTTTAGAAGAGCAAGGATTTCAAGATTTTTGAAATTCTGCTTTGGAAGAATTTGAAAATTTTTTGTAATCTTGTTTTGGTTCTTGGAAAACAACGTATGAAGTGAAGTAGAAGAAGATAAATTCTAAGATTTAGTAAACCTGCCAATAGCCCTGGAATGGTTTTGATACCAAATGATAACTTCCGTGAACCTTTCGGCAACTTTCAGCTAGCAGGATTTACAAGAACCAAAGGGGAGGAGGTGAAGGTGGAAACGAAAAGCAAAACCCGTTGCTTACAATGGAGCAAGAATCTTGGCATGTAATGACACCACAACCAACTATAGAAGGTTGTTTGATAAGTCAGGGAAGAATGCCAGGGAGAAATTCCGATGAGTTTTCATTCTCTCTAATAACTAAGAGAATTTTTAGAATTTAGCAACAAGAAACTTAAAATTTATTCTCTCCACATGCTTTTAAACAGGTTTCTAATATATAACAAGACAAACACATAAACACCTAAATATCCTTGTTTTTTGGGTATTTAAAAGGAAAGGACAACCAAAAAAAAAAAAAAGACTCAAATATCCTCAATTATCCTTACTATCAAACACCTAACTATTAAACTAAAATTCCAAAAATAAAACCTGAAATCATTTTTGTAAACATAAACAAATAACTGAATTTTCTCATGCTTGAATGATGGTTGCTCAGCCTTGATTAACATTTTCGGACCCTTATCGAGTTATCTTGATCCCACGTAGCTTAAATTATCCTGATAGGCAGTTGAATTGGATATGAACATGCCTTTGTCTGCGTTTTTGGCTCCGTACTAGTCTCAATTAATTCATCCCTTGCAACTTGTCATTGGAATTTGTCCTCCTGAAAGTCAGTAAGGGAATTTGTCTCTTAAAACACTTCACAGTGGGATTCATCCCCTAGAATTTGTCTTGGGAACTTGTCCTTACATTAAACTCATCCTCATGCAAACTCACCCTTATCAAGAGATCATCCTCACGTGGACTTCATCTTTGTTGAGAACTCTTCCTTATATAGAACTCATCTTTATTGGAACTCGTTCTCAGACAGGACTCCTCCTTACTAGGAACTTTAATTTTGTGGGAACTCATCATTGTATGGAACTTGCACTTGTTGGTTACTCGTTCTGATGCAGAATTCATCCTCACTCAAGTCATCTTCATTGGGAACTTGTTCTCGTATCGAATTGGTCCTCATTAGGAAATCACTCTCATTGGAATTCATCCTTACTTAGACAGTTATTAGCCTTTCAGATTTTTCCACTTAATGCTCCACTTATGGAGTATTATTAGATAATTTTACTTTTTTTGGTCAAATATGGGTATTTCTATACTACTGAATCTTGACCTAAACCTATAAATAGCATTATGTTTGAACTTGAGGCATTCAATAATATTTAGTCACATTCTGGTTGACTTTGACACATCAGCTTGTACTTTCTTACATGAATCTAATAGAGATTCTCAGAGTTTTCTCGCTAGTTCTTGTTTCTTCTCTCGTCTCTCTCTATTAAGCTTGTTCCATTCTTGTTTGTAAGATTCTAGTATTGCCTATAAGTAAATTTAAATCCAACACAGTTTATATGCATTTATTCATTATCCTCTTTTTGCAACCAACAAAAAAGTCCTTTCATTAACTCTGAACAAGTTGCTCTATGTTGAAACTACTACAAAACAGAATAGTTTGAAATTAAGATGCGGGGAATTACATAAAACTTCCTGAACTGATGTGGCTTTTCCACCTTCACAGTCTGCCAAACGACTGGAATGTTGCAACTTGTACCCTACCATTTTCTTGCTTGCTTAAACTTACCATCCCTAAAAAAAAAATTGTTTGCAAATTCACTTTTTTTTTTCATTTGAAAATTAAAGTATACATGGATGTGTCACTTTCGTTAGATTTCTTCGTATTTAAGTATCATAATCTTGACATCCCTCACATTTATTCCTTTATTTGCACCGCAATTTTTTTAAATTTTAGGTATACTTTCATTGTTGTAATCAATGACTATAAGTTGTGTGAGCTTTTATTCTGGTGATCCATTTTTTTGTTGTTCTTTTTTTAACTTTATATTTATGATGAAATTCACTAAAAAATGTTTATAGATTTTCACTTGGCATCGGAGAAAAAAATTGCCATCTCATACCCGAATGGAGAAATTCTATGACAGAAGGTTTTTATCCATGATTTTAAACTTCACAGGCAAGAAGAGAATCGGGAAAAATAAGTACTACTATGGAGCATCAAAAAAGTAAGGAGATCAGTGAAATACTGGCAAGTGAGTCTTCAACTACAATGGGGAGGCAAGGCACAACCAAGGGTGAGGAGCTTTCGAATAAATCATCACCATCAAAGGGTAATTTAGGTCTTCTTGTAGAAGGTTATCCGGTTGAGGGCTTGTCAATTGGAGGGCAAGAGACCTGTGTCATATTCCCCTCTCTCAGAATAGCATTTGATATTGGTAGATGTCCTCAAAGAGCCATCTCTCAGGAGTATCTCTTCATATCCCATGGCCACTTAGACCACATTGTAAGCATAAATTATGCAGGATCATATTTTATCTCATAAATTGAATTTTTGCCAAATACAAAAAATGAATAATATTGTTAATTTTAATATCCAAGTGAAATAGCAACCCACATGCAACATTTTACCCAACTCAAGATTTTTCTGGGCGTGGAATTTGCTAAGTTATGCATCTATCTTTGATTTGATTACAGTGCTAAATTGATTCATCAAATTTTAGTTAATTTTTTTCTTGTAAGGGTTTATAAAACTTCCAGTACTTTGTAGGGTTCTTTTATTAAATATTTTGACTTGTCCAATGATTCCCTGAATTTATGTTCTAGAGTACGGGAATACCCATATGAAAAGTCTTTTGTTGATTGTTTACTACTCCGCTAGTGTCTGCTAATTTTATTGCAGATATAATGGAAGCCATTTAACTCATCCTGCGTGAACTTTCTAATTATTGACCTCCTTTTCGTTTGTTTCACTATATCTTATGGGAAATATGAGCTCTTTTCATATACTTCACCTCTCCAATGTTATTCTTCTTGGAGGAGACTATGGCCTGTCTAGCTTATAATGTGCAGTGCCAATTGTAAAACCACCTATGCACTTAATTGATAACCAATTTAACTTCTTTTAATTCATTCAAGTCCATCATGTGTCCGCTGGATTATTGGAGTTGATGGGTTGACTAATCATTTTTGCTTATTGAAGCCTTCATGCCTAAATTACAAACCATAATGTAATGCATACAGTACAGAATAAACATGCTTTTCTGATGGACTTTTCCTCTAGTAAATGTTCAATTTTCATTAGAAATTCAAATTTCTGATGGAACAGTATCTATGCAAATATTCCATAGGAAACAATTATCAATGGAATATTATTCGTCAGAAAAGTTTTTCGGTAGAAATTCTAATGAAAATACTGACATAATGTAAGATGTTCAATCTCCACTAGAAATCAAATTTCTAATGAATTTCTGACGGACAAGCATTCGATACAAGTATTATGTAGGAAACAATTATCAATGGAATATAATCCGTTAGAAAACATTTTCGTTGGAAATTCCAGAGGAAATATAAGCAAAATATAAGTTGTTGCAAAATTCTTTTCTTTGACAATTTATCGGCAAATTGGGGTTGCTGGAATTACTGGTGGATTACTACCGGTCACATCCACTAATCCTCTGGTGTACAATACTATTAGTAATTCCAGCAGCCCCTATTTGCAAGAATTATTGCTAGGAATTTGTCAGCATCCTTTTTTGTCAGTTTTTCTCTAGAAAATGGTTATTGTAATTTTCGATTATGAAAACTTAGAGCAAAAGTACAAAAACAATCATTCCTAGATAATTTCTCATCTAGAACAGCACAACTACAAATTTCTCATATTTGTATTTGTATATACAACAACACTGCCGTTGCGCCAGGTCCTAAGTCCTGGATGAGAAAAGTGAAAGGTTGCGTTAGATAGTCAACAACCATCGTAAAACTTGTCGAATGATTATGACATGAATCTTTTAAAAAATTATGTTAATATTAGGTTGTCCCCTGGAAGCGACACGCTGTATGACCTGAATACAGTAACAAGCGTGCAAGGGCCGTTGCTTTGGCGCCTAGGTGCAGTATTAAATAGGCAAGGGTTCCCACATCAAGGATGGATGTGAGCAAAGAAGCTCGTCCTTGAAACTAATATTAGGATATAAACTTAGAATATAGGTCCCCAGGAAAATTAATGTAATTAATAGATATTATGATTCATAGGAAGATAAATATTCTGTGTATTCATGAAATTAGATGGGTTGGAGAGAAAGCTTAGGAGATTGATTAGTATTTAAACTATGGTATTCAGGTAAGAGTCATATTAGAAATTGTGTAAATGTGATTATAGATAAGAGTTTGAAGGAAAATGTTATAAAAATTAACATAATTGGAGATATAATTTTAGATTTAAAGATTGTTGTTGATGCTAAGATTGTTATTATTATAAGTGCTTATGCTCCTCAAGTAGGTTTGTATATGAGTTCAAAATTAAAATTTTGGATTGACTTAGAAGAATTAATACAAAAGATATCTCTTGAAGTTAAAGAGTTTTTATTGGAGAAGATTTAAATGGATATGCTGATAGAGAGGTAGATGATTTTAAAATCATTCATGGTGGCCATGAGTTTGGAACAAAAAATGAAGGTGATAAGACCATATTAAATTTTTTTTAGTTTATGATTTTGTAATTGCTAATACTTTTTTAAGAAAAGATATGAGCATCTCATCACTTATAAAAATAGATATAGTAAAACTCAAATTGATTATTTTCTTATAAAAAAATAGATCGTTTAGAATGAAAAGATTGTAAAGTTATTCCGAGTAAAAATTTATGTACTCAAAATTGATTATTAGTTTTGGACTTTAAGATAAATGAGCAGAAAATAAAAAAAATAAGTAAAACAATATTTTAGGATTAGATGGAGGCATTTAAAAAATATTAACAAAAATATTTTTAAGAGTAAGATTTTAGATCTTAAGATTTTGTTTGTGCATAAGGATATGTTAATATTATGTGAAAAAAAGTGGCTAGTGATATTAAGAAAATATTGTAAAAGATGTGTTTGGAGTATCAAAGGGAAAAACTCATAATAGTAAAAATAGTTTGTGGTGAAATCCAAATGTGCAAGAAAAGATAAAAAATAAGAAGATTTGTTATAAAAATTGATTTAGATTTAAAAATTTTGATAATTAGGAAAAAATATAAAAATGCATGTAAGGAATCTAAAAAAGCGATATGTGATTCAAAGATCTTAGTTTTTCATGATTTATATAATAGATTAGATATTAAAGAGGGAGAAAGATATATGCATAAGTTAGCCAAACGAAAAGATAGGAGTAGTAAGGATTTAGTTCAAGTGAAGTGTATTAAGGATGAAGATAAAAAGGTATTTTTCTTAAAAGATGATATTCAACAAAGGTGGATGTGATATTTTGCTAAACTTTTGAATGAAGAATGTGAAAATTCGATTGACTTTAGTGACCTTAACAACCTAAATGATAATAAAGATTTATGTTTTTATCAGCATATTAGTAAAATCGAAGTTAAAGAGGCTTTAAAGAAAATGAAGTGTGAAAAAGCTGTTGGAACTGATGATATTCCAATAGAGATGTGAAAATGCTTAGGAGATGAAGGAATTTCTTGGCTTACTAAATTTTTTAATACTGTTTTAAAGACTAAAAAGATGCTAAATGAGTGGAGAATGAGTGTGTTAATTCATATTTTTATGAATAAAGGTGATGCACAAGATTGTGGGAAATATAGCGAAATTAAGTTAATGTGTCATACTTTAAATCTATGGAAGCGAGTTATGGAGCGTAGGTTGCGGCGTGATACTAATGTTTCTCAAAATCAATTTGGATTCGTGCCGATTAGATCTACTATGGAAACCATATATTTATTGAGAGGTTTGATGGAGAAATATAGAGAGAATAAGGAGGATCTTTATATGATATTTATTGATTTAGAGAAAGCATATAACAAAGTTCCAAGAGAATTGCTAGGGAGAGTTCTTGAAAAGAAAGGAGTTAATAACGCTTATATTCAAATCATTAAATATATGTATGCAGGAGCTATTACTTGTATTCAAACACAATGTGGTTTGACTAGAGGTGTCAATATTTGACACGACCTGAAAACATGACTCGAACCCGACCCGAAAATTTCAGTTTAGGGTCAACCCGAACCCGTAACGGGTCTGGTTCGGGTTCAACAATTCGACCTGTTTCAAAAATGGGGTCGGGTTCAGGTTGACCCTTTGACCCGAAATTGATCCGTTTTTTACCCGAAAACCCGTTTTTGCCCGACAACTTGAAATTGACCTGTTTCTGACCTGAAAAGCGGAGATTGACCCATTTTGGACCCGAAAACTAGCATTTTTTTCATGATCCCGGGTCATTCAGGTCGTGTTGGGTTGACCTGGACTCGAAGCGGGTCAGGTTCGGGTCCGAAAAATTGACCCGTTTGCAAAAACGGTTCAGGTTCGGATTTGACCCGAATAGTGCCGGGTCAGTTTCGGGTTCGGCCGATCCGTGACCTGAAATTGACACCCCTAAGTTTGACCAAGTATTTTCCTATTTCGATTGGATTACATCAAGGATCAACCTTAATACCATATCATTTTTCTTTAGTTATGGATGTTCTCACTAGACATTTGCAAGAAGATGTACCTTGGTGTATGCTTTTTGCTGATGATATTCTTCTTGTTGATAAGACTAGAGAGGGAGTTGAAGGTAAACTTGAATTATGGAGGTCAACCTTAGAGTCTAAAAGTTTTCGTTTAAGCAGATGTAAAATTGACTATATGGAGTGTAATTTTAGTAGAAATAGACCTAGTGAGGGAATTATAACTTTGGGCGATCAAGTCATTAATAAGAGTACATATTTTAGATATCTTGGATCTACTGTTCAGAGTGATGGTGAAATAGATGGAGATATTATCAGTAGAATTCATGTTGAATGGTTAAATTGAAGGAATGCATCAGACTTATTGTGTGATAAAAAAGTCCCCCTCAAACTTAAGATGGTGGTGAGACCTGCAATGCTTTATGGTGCCGAATGTTGGCCATTAAAAGAGAAGCATAATACTAAGATAAGTGTTGCAGGGATGAGGATGCTCAGGTGGATGAGTGGCTTTACCCTTAGAGGTAGGATACGAAATGAACATATACGTGAAAAGGGTTGAGTAGCTCCCATGGAAGGTAAGATTAGAGAGAGTCGCCTTAAATGGTTTGGTCACATAAAATGATGGCTTTCTGATGACCCGGTTAGGAAAGTAGATGTTTAGATTCGACTTAATGTTAAAAAAGGTAAAGGTAGACTTAAAAAGACTTGGTTATAAAATATTAGAAATGATATTTCTTTATTAGATTTAAACGAGAATTTGACTTTTAACAGGACACAATGGAGAAAAAGGATTCATACAGCCGGCCCCATGTAGTGGGACAAAGACTTGATGATGTTGTTGTTGTATTTGTATATACAACATATCCAAATAAAATTTTCCTAGCTTTTTATATTAACCATATAAAAAATGTAGCCAAGAACAATAATTTTAAATGTAATTAAATTATCTAAAAATTACAACTTTGATTATTCAATTGGTTTTATCACTCCAAATTTATATTAAGCAAAACAAAAAAAATATAAAACAAATCCTCTATATCATTTTCCTCTCCTCAGCCACTCACTCTTGTTGGTGATGATGTTGTTGCTCCATGAAGCTCTGTATTTTAGCTTGCATCTATCATTGCATCTCAACTTGCATTGCATGTAGGCATGCATATATTTCTTTTGTCAGATCAGTCATCTTTCTACTAAGCAATTCCTCAATAGTAATATCCATAAATCCTTCTATGATAGAATTTAAAAATTTTGACATCTTCTGCTCACTACTGCGCGCCAATGCCTTTTCATTCCAATATATTGATTACAAGTCCTTAAAAAAATGCTAAGTTTAATTAATGAATTTAATATTGTTGACCTACTGGATGAAAAAAAAAAGAGACCGTGCATACCTGTCGTCGCCATCCCGCGCACGTTTGAACGTCAGTTCTTCGCACGTCTTCGCCTCTCTCCCCACAATCTCACCCGCTCGCGTCATTAAATGACCGAAGAGACGAGGCCTTCGGTCTCTTTCGCGATCCCACTCTCTCTCTCTCTCTCTCTCCCTCACGCGCTTCTTTGACTCTTTCGCGGCTGTTTGACGAAGCTCCTTCGACAAAGCTCCCTTTGGGTCGAATCGGAAGCAACAGACGGGAGCTCGCTGACTGTAGAAGCAACTTTCTCCCTATCGGGTGCTCCTTTGTGCTGTTCGACCGCTCCTTCGACGACGTTCCCTTCGAGCTTGATCATAAGTTACGACATTTCGTGCGAAAGCAACGCCGGAAGCCGCTCGCAGTGAAGGCAACTTTCTCCAGTTAGGGCGCTTCTCCGGCTTCTTCGTCCCCTCCGACGCCGTCCCTCCCTGGTCGAATCAGAAGTTCTGACATTTTGATCGGATGAAACAACAGGATATCGCGGGCTGTGAAGTCGCTTTCTCCCTTTCTCGCGTGCCTCTCCACCCTTGTCCGGCTTCACTCCGTCCATGACTTCCCTTCCGATCGAATTGGAAGTTACGACATTTTCGGCCGGAAGTAACAACAGGAGCCCGCTTGCTGTATAGGTAACTTCTCCCTTTCACGCTTCTTTGGCCGAATCCCGTAAGCAGAGAAAAAGGGGAGGGTTAATTCATTCTAATTAATGTTAATTATATTTAATTATAATTATAATTAATTAGTTAATTATGATTAATTAATAATTAGTAGTTAATTATTAGTTATAATTGTTTAATTAATTATAATTAATTTCGATTAATTATAGTTAATTATTAACAAATTATAATTATAATTAATGTATTAATTATAATTAATTAATAATTAGTGATTAATTATTAATTATAATTACCTAATTATTACTATAATTAATATTAATTATAACAAAAAAA